TCTTCAGAGGTTTTTGTGTCGTTTCTTTCAGTAGTTCTTGGTGCAGCGCCCCCACAGGCGAGCGGGGGAATAGGTTGGTTCAACAGGTTGACTCGACTGCACAGTGCAGTGTGAATGCAAACGCACCAGCTCAAATGTAACAAAAGCTCATGAATATTGGTCCCGAACCGAACCGAGTCTACCGGATTATCAGGTGTGAAAACGACCTAAAAAAATGGAAGAGGTGTCACTGGAAGATGAAAACCCCGGCAAAGGTGCTTTAAATCCTGACATTTGTATTTATTTTCTACACAGAGATGAAGTTAACACCACGAGTAAGTGTTTGTTTACCAGAGTAACTGTGGTAAACTATGTGAGGAATACAATTCCCACTGATGCAGTGACATTCTTCTCTGATAATAAACCCAAGATTAGCAGTGACCTGAAAAAATGCAGAAGAAGAAGATGATGAAGAAGAGGTTTCCCAAAGCCTCTGCCAGTGTGACTTTGGGTTATTGTGGAGTTGACAGAAAGAAGTGAAACAGAACAGATGGCTGCAAAAAAAAAAAAAAAAACTGGACATACTGTCCAACAGAACAAGCTGAAAGTTTGGTTAGGGATGAAAAAGATCACTGGCTTCTATAAAACGAGTGGTTTCAAACTGATGATAAAAGTCTGGATATTAACACTGAGCTGACTTTGTTCAGCTGATTGCAAAGACCCTGCATAATTTCACCCTGCTCCAAACCAAGTAGATTTTAAAACATAGAATATTTGATCAGCTTTCAACCACACCATCTTAATACAACATCAGCAACATGACCTTCTATATCAGGACACAGTTATTGTAGACCAAGGTGACTCAAGTGATAGTTCATGGTGGCCCTTTAGACAGTTCTTAGCTAAGGTCTAAGATAATAATACAGGTAAATATAAGACAGTTTCCTGTGACTGATTTATTTTGACTGGTCTATTTTGACTGGTCTATTTTGACTGGTCTATTTTGACTGGTCTATTTTGGTTCTTGGGGGATGGGTAGAGAAAAAAGAGGGGTAGTTTGTAGTGGTCTCAGAGTGGACATAAGCCTTTTCACTTCCTGTTAAGGAAGCATCATCTGTAGTTAGACAGAGAAGTTACTTCGATTGTTAAATGTTACCATTCTAAGTTACATGAGTAGTCAGAAAATTTAAATTATACTCAGAATTTGAAGGTAATCAGCTGAACTGGGACTTCTTCATGCACTTTGTTGGCATATTATATGAGCTCTTTTCACTGTATAAACTGTATATATTTGCCTGTTGGCATCATGTTAAATGTAGCCATTCAAGAATGTTTGTTTCTGATGATGTGCCAAGACATGAGATCTTCTGGTTTAGTCCCTTCTAAAGACAGAACTGTGTGAAACACATGGTCAGCTGCAAGTTTTATTCTAAAGACATCAGCTGAAGTCTATAGTCTCAATAAGTTTAGCACACTGTACAAGCTGTTATTAAAAATGTGAGTACACAACACAAGTCCAGGATTAAATGGAAAACAACACAGTATTTGTTCTTCAGGCTACTACCATCCCCATTTTCTAAAAGGTTTATAAAATGAATATTTAAAAAAGAATCAACTGCATTATTTAAATAATTTGCTTAACCAACCCAATTTTATTCAAACAATTATTCTCTTTGTTACTGATCAGCCTTTTTTTGCTTCATCTACCAAACTTTGTGTTGATCAAAGGTTAACACTTTTTGACTGCAAAAAAAAAAAAAGCAAAAAAATGTAGAAATGTTTCGTCTCTCATCCGAGAGACTTCCTCAGTCTGAGGAGCTGTATTCAGCTCAGTCTCTTAAATAGCACCTTCTCAGAGTGGATCAACCAGTTTTGCTGCTGACAACCAAAACCAGCTGATCACATGATCAAGAAGGACCATCAGCCTAACAATGGGTCATTAGCACACTGATGGCTGTTTACTATTCACAGATGGCTGAGTGAAACTAGCAATCACAGCATTGTAAGAGGGGGACAGTTGAACCCGGAGGCCTCCACCCCTGTTTAATGATGGACGATTTATTTTCACAAAGATGGCCTCCTTTACTCCTCTCTCAAACCATCGTTCCTCTCTATCCAGGATGTGAACATCTTCATCCCTGAAAGAGTGACCGCTGGCCTGGAGATGAGTGTAGACCGTAGAGTCCTGGCCTGATGATGTTGATCTTCTGTGCTGGGCCATCCTTTTGGCCAGTGGCTGTTTAGTTTCCCTGATGTAAGACTGATCACCCTCCTGACACTGAACAGCATACACAACATTACTCTGTTTGTGCCGGGGGACTGGATCTTTGGGATGAACCAGTCTTTGCCGTAAAGTATTTTGGGGTTTAAAAGCCACTGGGACGTTGTGTTTAGAAAATAAACGTCTCAGTTTCTCTGATACTCCCTCAACATATGGAAAGACCACTGGTCTGGGTCTGGGTTCCTCCTTTTCACCTGTTGGCTGACTGGAGTCCTGTTTGGGTTTCTTCTCTGCTTTCAGGAAGGCCCAAGAAGGTGCTTAAAGAAAACCACATCTGCTTCCAGACACTGCTGACAAAGATGAGAATCCACTTCCCTACAAGGACTGTCACCTGCAGTGACATCCATGATGCAGCTGAGGAGATGGAGAAGCACGACTCCCTGACAGGACCAGTATGATAGAAGAAACCCAGTGGTCACAACGAGGAGACCTGACAAAGTTGCTACCGTGGAGCATAACAGGAGGAGCACCAGGGAGGATGAAGAGCATGAAGAATGTGGAAACTGAGGCACTTGTGACTGTTTCTTCATGCTTGTAGGTCTTTGTCTGCAAGTATGGAGAGGACAGAAATGGAAATAATTGTTTATACAAGCACTCCATGGCAATGAGGTTTATTATAAATATATATTTAAAAAAGTAGAAAAAATGATGAGGGGGTCACTTTTTGAGTTTAGTTTTTCTTTTAGAACAGAAGGCACAGGATTACAACAGGTGCAGAACATAAACTTTCAGGAAAATACTTCAATACTATAAATGCTTGTCCTTGAAAATGGTCCATAAATCGACTTGTGTTGTCGAGTTGTGTAGGAACCCTTCGACTACACTTCCCAGAATTCCACGCTACCTTTTTTTCTTCTTCTTCTTTCCTTCCAGTTCCAGCTCGAGCTTCGCTCTGCACCTGCGGTCTGTCCATCTTGGTCTGTCAGTAATAATCATGCGGTGTTTACAGTGTTCGGTGTTTTGCTTCAGAACAGAGTACGCAATAATCTGGGACCTAATCTAATCTGGGAAAACCGGAAAGGAAACGAAACCATGAAATGGAGATCACTCGGGACAGACCGTCCCTGTACGGAGAAATCGGTAAGTAGCTTATGGCTAACAGAACAGAAGACACCAGTTCATAAAAAGCGTCTGCAAATGTTTAGACAACACTGGTTCAGAGTTTCTGTGCGCGTTTCACTTTCGGTCAATTTGATTTGGGCAAGACTTTCAAACGTATCTTGTTAGCCTTTAGCTAAACATGTACCTGGATGTTAGCAAACATGAGCGCACTATGTAGTTATTAGTTTTATATTTATTAATGGTTTATTTTATTTGCATCCAGCATCAGTCACCTGACTGTTCCTTTAAATTAATATTAATACCTCAGTCTGAAGTTTGTGCCTCAGTTATAATATTTAACCCTTAGTCATTATGAATTGGCTCGACTCAGTCTTGTTTGACCTTTGACCTTCTGCAGCTCATGGCCTGGGGTTCTGGACAGAGCGCTCAGCGGTTCATGAGGCAGCTGCTCGGGGCAGAGCCCTCCAGCTGCAGCAGCTCATCCAGGGGGGGGCCTCTGTGAACACTGTGGCTGTGGACTCCATCACCCCCCTGCACGAGGCCTGTATACAGGGTCAGACTCAGTGTGTCAGACTGCTGCTGGACGCCGGTGCGCAGGTCAGATAGTTTCACGTCCAGAGTCTGGTGAAGTTTCTGGATTAAAGGGACGTGACTTATGACCCTGTCCGACAGGTGGAGGCTCGTAACATTGACGGCAGCACCCCGCTGTGCGACGCATGTGCAGCAGGGAGCTTGGATTGTGTCAAACTGCTGCTGGATTATGGAGCAACAGTCAATCCTCCACTGTTTACCTTCTCCCCTCTTCATGAGGCATGCATGGGAGGTACGTCTTGCTGCATACAGCAGAGAACACCAACTGACAGTCCTGCCCTCTTCTGAAATTACACAGGATTTGGCACAGCCGGTATCAAACTCTTGTGTGATATGGGAATCGGTCTGTAGCCCAGCTCAGAAAGTGTTACTGACAACACTGCCTTGGTCAATTATAGTGCTTCACAACGTACTATGTTTTCATTAGGAGCTCTAATGGCACTTTGTTTTCATATCAGGTAATCCAGACTGTGTTCAGCTCATGATCGATCGAGGAGCTTTCATGGAAGCTCATGACTGCCATTATGGAACACCGCTTCACGTGGCCTGTGCTCGACAACACTACGACTGCGCCAAAGTCCTTCTCATTGCAGGTGAGTCGTGGCCCATCCTCTGATTGTTGGGGCTTGAGAAAAAAGCTTGGAGAACCGTTTCATGAAACTGATGGTTATTCAGAGTCTGAAGGAAACAAGCAGTGGCGGATTCACCGTCGGGCACGACGGGACACTTCCCGGTGGCCTGGTTGCCGAGGAACGGGACTAAAGGCTCGGTTCGGGTCGCACGGACTTTATTATTTTAAATAAACAATTCACTTTTGCCTGGGCTCAGGTCTCACGCTGCACTGCAGCGACGGAGAAAGCCTGGCACATCCCCCGGCCGGGCCGGCCCCCTCCCTTCCTTTTCTGTGTGTCACTCACAGAGCAGAGACACACACACACACACACATTGCGCCCGCCCCCCTCCCCGCCCTAGTCCAGGACTCGCGCTCCCGGCGGTGTTGGCGCGCGGTGCGTGCATCTCTGAGTTGTAGAATGGAGCAACAGAGACAGCCAAAGAAGAGGAAAGGTGGAGCAGAGAGAGAGAGGATAAAAAAGAGAAAAGCTCTGGCCGCGGATGCTGCTAAGTGCTATAAATTAATGTTTGTTCGTAATGGAGCAGGTAAGAGAAACACTTGTGATGAAAAAATTGAACTCTGGCACAGTTTATCAGCACAGCTTAATATCCACATGCTAGCTTCACTTTGAGGGACCTAAGTGGGCCAAAACTGACTTAATATAACAAATGTTTTTAAGTTTTTACAAAGAATATTGCAAATTTTATAATATGGGTTAGGATCTGAAAAAAGTTTAATGTTGAAATGTCTAGGAATTCAGATTTTTTTGTATCTAAAAAAGTTAAGTCAGGTCCTCTGGACAAATAAAAAAAAAACTTGTTGAAACTTTTGTCTTTAATCCAAAAAACTAAGTTCAGTCTGAGGAGTTGCAACAAGCTCAGTTTCAAATAGCCTCTTCTCATAGTGGATCAACCAGTTTGTTGTTAACATCCAGAACAAGCTGTTAACATAAGGAAGACCTGCAGCCTAACAACCCCTAACAATGGTTTCTTTTCACAAAGATGGCTTCCTTTACTCCTCTCTCAAATCATAGTTCCTCTCTATCAAGGATGTGCACATCTTCATCCCTGAAAGTGACTGCTGGCCTGCAGATGAGTGTAAACTGCCGAGTCTTGGCCTGAAGATGTTGCTCTTCTGTGCTGGGCCAAAGAGCAACATCATCAGGCCAGGAGAACTCTGTGGTTTACACTCATCTGCAGGCCAGCAGTCACTTTCAGGGATGAAGATGTGCTCATCCTTGATAGAGAGAAGTGTTGGTTTGAGAGAGGAGTAAAGGAAGCCATCTTTGTGATGAGAACTCATCCATCATTAAACAGGGACAGAGGCCTCTGTGTCCAACTGTAGCCCTCTTACAATGCTGTTATTGCTGGTATCTCTCAGCCCCCTGTGAATAGCAAACAGCCTAGAGCACTAACGATCCATTGTTAGGCTGATGATGGTCCTCCTTTATCATGTTAACAGCTAGTTCTGGATGTCAGCAACAAACTGGTTGATCCACTATGAAAAGAGACTATTTGAAACTAAGTTTGTTGCAGCTTCTCAAACTGACAGTCTTTTGGATTAAAGACTAAACGTTTCAACAAGTTGTTTTTTTTTTAATCTGTCCAGAGGACCTGACTTAACTTTTTTAGATTTTCTACCTGGATTAT